GCCAGAGTTATGTTCAGAGCTTCAGGTCCTACTGATTTTTGACCTAGCCCTTGAGTTTTAACTTTGAAGTTGAAGGTTGTCCAGTCTCTTGTTCATATTCTATTTCTACTCTAGGCCTCTTTCGCTGCCTGGTCCTTCGTTTATCTTGCTGTTCCTCTTCATCTGAAGACTCACTGCTACTCTCATCAAATTTGCCATTCCCCTTTTCTGTGTCCTAAACAAAGATGAACAAGGCTTAGTACACTATACAAACTATAATTATTTATGTTTTATTAAAAATGGCTTTGGTTTGTATATAGAAAGGCAAAGCTTTTAAATACCTAATAAGTAAACTTAAAATCCTGTTTTTATAACATAAATTTAGTTTATACTACTTGGAATAAATCTTAGGTAACAATATTGAAATAGAAATGACATAATGCAAGCTGTTGCAAAATATACCTCCAGGTCTGATAAATCACTTTCTTCAAATTCTTCCTCTGCAACATATTCCACTTCTCCAGAGTCAGATTCCTGTTGACAGAAAGAAAAATGCAATTCAGTCGAAACAGGTGTAAGTAATGGCATTTGAAAAGATTTTTTCTCCTTTAATTTCATCAGTTTTACTAAGATTCTACGAAAGAATAAAAAGCTACATTTAAAAGTGGAGAACACTCATGTGGCATTGATATTGCACAGTGATTTTTTTCTCAACAAATAACACTCAATAACACTGACAGCTTATACGTAAAAAATGCAAAACTTCCTTGTCAAAATATTTCTGAATCATCATTTTCACCAAACAAATTTCATGCACCATTCTTACTTCATCGTCCAAATCTCCTTCCTCCTCTTCATCTAGCTCTTTCTCTCCTTCTTTTTCTTTTGTCTCTTCTGTCTCTGACTCACTTGAAATCTCCTCAACCTCCAGTGCCTTATCAAAGGCATGCTGTGGGAAGTTATATATATCGCCATACTGAAAATGAGGAATTCAATAAGAAATTCATTTTATTTTTTTTTCAGCAATTTGTGAGCTTACCTTTCACTATGCAAATTGCAAATTCAAAGTTACATATGTACTGTTTACAAATCATCAGTAACAGACCTTCCTGACCTTTAAATATATTTCTTTGTATTTTGATTATTATACAATAAGCACAGAATTTTATATGCAGATTTTGAGGTCTGAAAAGATATCAACAATGAAAACATCATTGAACATAATATTGATAGATGACAACATTATCAATTTTTTGACAAAACAGAGTTAAGGAAACATACCATATATTAGATTAAAACAATGTCTAACGACAATTTATAGTATATTGAAGGAAACCAAATGTAGGCATTGAATTTTATGATAAAATCATAACTATAGACTTCAGCTTTTATATATATGCCACTTTGCAGACCACAGAAGAAAGATTAAACTTGGCTCAATTTTGATGTCTGCAAAACAGCATGTTGACCTCAGCTTAAGCCCACATTTGTATAATATTTGGCAATTGTATATGCAATTCCTGTGTATGAAACAATACTCACAGTGCCCTGCTTGAGCCTCTCCAGTAACTCCTTCTCAATGGCATTATCAAGTTGTGCTGCAACCAGTGCCTTCTCCTAAAAAAATAAAAACAACATTCCTGAGTTAATGAGAATCCACAACATCATTCAAGTAAAACAAGTTAATGTGCCATTTTCCCTGTCATGTAGGTAGGCTGAGATGACTGACCATTGGTAAAGGTGTTTGTAGGTGTATGTTTTGAGGCCCCTGGGTGTCCTGCCTTGCTGTAAGGTGGCTGGAATTAATCTAATTTTTCAAACATTCAGAAAATGTAGATATGGTGCTGCACACTGATAATGTCAATGCGTGAAAGTGAAAATGTCTTAAAACTGCATCATTTCAAGAAAAATAGTCCAATAAAGCAGCTTTTCAATTTGACCTATATTTTAGTGCCATAACTTCAGTGATTTTTTTTATTAAGTCACATGGTTTTCCATAAATTGTGAAAAATTACTTGTTTCTTTTCTGTTCAGACAGACTGTGTCTTTTCATAAAAAACACATAAACAAAAGTTTTTGTAAAAATAATCTGATCATACTGATTTCCAAACATTTTATTCAACCATAAAAAAATGAGTAAAAAGAAAATATGGTTTAGCAGTTACAGGGACCCATGTTCTGAACTGGATGACATGGACAGACACAGTGATATTTACAGAATATTTACTGATAAAATACATGTTGTGGGTGCCCTATATGGTAATTATGCTTACCTCTCTTCTCTTCTCCCTTCTCTCCACTTTTCTGCTAAGTGGCACCAGTTTCTGCCTAATGAAAAGGAGCATTTGATGTGTCAAAACAAAACAGCATTAGAATATTGTTTAATACATTATATATCCAGTATCATTTCAATCCATGAATATTTACACTATTTAAAAGATAAAATAAAAAATATATACTTACTGTCTTTTTAGAGTTAATTTCCTTATTCTGATTAAATACTGTGTTACTTTTGTAAATCTCTGTTTACATTTGTGTTTTATAAATCTGAAAAAAAAAGAAAAGCTGGCAAATACACAGACATTGAGCACAAGAAGCCATCCCACTTTTACACCAACAAGTACATACTGTGTGTGCATGCATGCATGCCAGCGTGTGTGTGTTTAGACACTTTACATGTCTATCTAATATAAATAAAAAAATGATTAAATCAATCACTGGCTCCTTTTAATGGGGTTGATAATTTTTTTCTCTTGCATAGTCCTTATTTAGCTGGTCTACTGAGAATATTAGTAGAACTATTCTCAGTTTTGTCACATAATTTGGCCAGAGCATTTTATTGAACACACTTTATTCACTTTAAAAAAAATCTTTACAGTAAGTCAACATGCTTCTTCAGGTGTTGGCTGTTTCAAATGAAATACCTGCCAATCACTGTTGATTCTTTATTATGTCTGAAACTCTGGGTATGAAGGGAAAATTCACTCAAATTAAACTCTTTAGTGGACTTAATAGTTTGATTTTTTTTCCTTTGGGAGTGTGTGGCAAAGTCTAGTCAGCATAACTATGCCTCTTACGCACCTTATAATGCATCTCTGAAACGAAACCTTTTTTTCCTTCAGTTGGTATAAAGCAGTTAACTGGTAGTTTTTGAATTTAAGTTTTATAAGAGCAGAAAGTTAAGGGTAAACAATAGTCAGTATGGCTTGGTTTTCTACAGATAGTTTGTTTTCAGCTTCCTGTCCTCTATTTCACATAACAGTGTACAATTATTTAATTAGCTTGAGAATAGTTCTTTGTTCTCTGTAGACCAGCTGATATTTCTGGGTTGGAGACAATAAGTCATCGTCAACTCAAATGATGTAATTCCAGTAATGGATTTATAGATAAAGAAATATGCATTACTATAATCAAATGAACTAAGTTAACAATCTGTTTCTTAAATGCAATAATGTTCAATAACAATTTGTATTCTCAATAATATGCATCATTCTAAAAGTTATATTTTGTTCAAAATATCTATTAAATGAAAGTATACACGTGCCTATTTCAAACATACCTAGGCCAATATATCAGATTTTCATCAATCTGCTTTAGAGCTTTTTCATAATTCCTCGATAGCTTAACCTTTTCCCAAAGTCTGGCTGGGAATGCTGCTCTTTCAATAGTTTTCATGTATAAGTAACATATACCTGAAAAAATGCACATATACATACAGCTAAACACTCATTTAATTTCCTTTGTAATGCAGAATCAAGTTTACATCACATTCTCATCCCCATTTAGTGAACAGAAGTGGGAGGAGAAACCAGCGAATGATACTGGAGAATAATGATTAATCACAACAGGACACAGTGAACTGTCCAACATTTAGAAAAAACTAAGTTTGGTATTTTGATAATCATAAGCCCTGTCAGTAACCTAAATGTTAACTGGATGTCCAAGTTACAGGTGACTTTTTAATGAAAAATTGTGTTTAAAATGGTTCACTTTGTGTCTTTAAAATAAAGTTTAATATCTAAAGCACACACGACACAAAACATCATGCAATTTTCAGGTGTATATGGAGTAAACTGAGTGGCCAATTCTTGGCTTTTAAAATCTGCAGTTGAGCCATATGAGTGTCTAGTAAAATTAATGTTGTGCAAGTATAAAACTCACCTTTTTCTTCCCTTATAGTTGCATACTGGCTGTTGGCTAGTGGACATGATGATCTATTGCACAAACCCGTTAAATTAAACTCATTACGACAGAATTTCTGTGACTTTGTTCTGAAATCAGAATAAAACTAGGCTGATTAATTTTGCCTGTTAATTAATGAAATCATTCAAGAAAAGAATCACGGTGATATAATAATAATAATAATAATAATAATAATAATAATAATAATAATAATAATAATGTTGTTACACATAGAAACCAATGCCATACATATTATCAGTCCTATAAATTATTTTGGTATATTTGCATATACCACTGTGTGTGCTGCATGTCTGTTAATATACATTTAACTTAAAGATTACCAGCTAATATGCAAAAAATGTAATTCAAGATACATAGAACATAACATACTTGACTTTGTATGAGCAAAATGATCCGTTAATGATGCTCCATATAACCTGAATGAAAATAGAAAATACACATCACTTTTACATTAGATTTGCCACAAAAAGTTTAAATACCACTGAAATGTTTAAAACATATACAAATTACATCGCTGATATAAAAAGTGAGTAACGACTTGCTTTGCCTTCGTTTATTGATATTGCCTTCATTTAGTGATCTACCAACAACATTGTGTACAACTTACAGGTCATATATCAACATATGGTCCTTGGTTTTACATTATTTTTCAATCAACATGCCATTAAATGTCATGAAAGATACCTACATCATCATGCTGCATATCGACTTCTGATTTTATTCAATACCACGATGGAATTGATCCTTGTTTTCGCCAAGTTCCTAAGGTTTTACGACCATGTGTTACGGAAGTGAAAATAGTATTGCTGCGCAAGTGCGTTAACCCTTGACCTCGGCACAACTGAGACTCCCAAACAAATCGATATCACCTGGCATGTCTCAAAGTTTAGAATTTACAAGGATAAACTACGTTAAATACGACGGCTAAATGGAATTCAAACACCATCATGGAGGTATATGTCTATATATTTACAAATTAACATTCAATGTGTCATCATGAGTTGTAGCAAGGTTATCCATTATTGTTCGCTTTTATAAATCTGGCTACATACTGTAGTTCTAAATTAAGGTACTAGCTTGCACCACGAAATTCATGCTCTGTATTTACACATGAAATCAAAGACTTCAATAAGTGTTAAATGAAGACCAGTATGTGAATCCATGGGGGTGCGGAAGCTCTCAATTTTTATCTTACCTCTCATCTCCTCAACCCGCACACTCCTGAAAAGCCAGCCAGCTTTCCAATCATCAGAGCTTTGATTAGGGTAATTAATATCCATCTGCTTGTCTACCAGTTACAGGTAGGTTGCTGGGTAAGAATTTACCATGAAAAACTCATACTTAACTAACTTCCTGTGGTAAACTGTATATTTCTCTAGCTGATCCTCCTTTTTTGACACTCAGCACAATCTGTACCAGGGGAAAATTATAAATTTTAGGAGTTATCAAGTTTGATTTTAAAAAAACTTGATCTGTACGCTAAAGATGTGTTTAAATTGATTATCTCCCTATAAACTCTATAGAAAGTAGAAAAAATGTGTTTCTAAACAACCCACCACAATATGCGAAAATGAGTGACAGATGTACATGTAGGTGTCATGTGGCACTGTACATGATATGCAAGTGTGCTGATGGAGCATAGAGCATCTGAGCTAAGAAACATGGAAGTTTGGAAATCTCTGCTAATGAAGTAAAGACACAGACATTGTTTTGTCTCAATGTATGGCATTTGGGTGCACTAAATCAGGTGTCAAAGGATCTTTAGATGCAGCACCCACAAACCTGGACACAGTTTCAGTTTTTCAGTAATGCACAATCACATCCCTGTTTATAGCATTTATCTGATAAAATTGATAGAAAAGAATTACTTGGCTTCTGATATGTTCAACAAGAAGTGGTTAGTCATTTAGAACTAAATTATAAATTGAAAAAAAAAAGAAAAAAATAATATATCCAAGAGCAGGGATGGGATGAACATTAATCCCTGACTTGAGAAAATTTTCACAAGGAAAATTATTTTTTGCAGTGAAATCAATTTTATCCGGTATAGAGTACCTTTTGTCAATCTCAAATATGACTGTTCAATTTTTAATGAGTGGTATAATGGATTGCAATTGGTAATGTAAATTAGTTAAATCTTCTGATATTTGTTCTAAAAGACAGGCCAACTAATTATGCTTTGACTGTTTTAAAGATCACAGTAAGGTCTGCTTTACATCATAATTTTTAATATTAAGATAAAAAACTTTGTACATTAATTTGTGTAGACATCTCTTTCATTTTAGATATAGAAAAGGGAGAAAAAGTTACCCTTTTTAAACTTGGAATTTTGAGAGCTGTAATGTGTGGTCCTTTTATTTTATTATTACTATTTTATTTATTTATTTATTTTTATTTTTTTGCCACAAGAAAAAAATAGTTAAGGGTCTAGAAAATAAACCTGTAAATAAACAGCAAGAGATTCAGATGAAAGTTGCCCAAATTGTTTTGTATGTAAACCTGTACTTTGCAATGCTTGTGACAATTGTTTTTACATTCGTGCCAAGAAATTGTTGATAATAAGACACTCACAATCATATACCGAGTGCTCCAGATCACACATGACAATTATTGTTTATGAAGCCTGCAGAACATATTTTTGTTTTACTTCATATTTACTGAGTGGCTAAGTATGTCAAAAAGCATTTTCCTTTAAAAAACATAATGGATGGAATTATTTTTACAAAAGTTCATTATGTTTGATTTAATTTTTTTTTTTTTTGCATGTATTTTGGCAGTGTTCACCCATGGAATGCCAAACTATTTTGCTGTACCAAATATGTGTTGTGTGATTTTGCTTGGTAAAAAGGTTGCTTCCTTGGGGCCATTTTCACAAAAGATATTTACTGTAATGTTCTTCTTAAAGATGCATATAAAGTCAATTTTTTGCCGCAAAAGTCAACCAAATGCCAGCATATAGTTTCAAGTAGTATAACTAAGAGAATTACCAAAAGGCATTGTATAATTTTACCTGAAAATAATGTTTAAACGGATTTTCCGGCTAGCATTCTATGCTGTATGTCAATGGGGCAGAAAAGTACATAGGTCACAAAAGTAGGTTAAATTTTTGACCCAAAATTAAAGAAAAGAGCAGTCTAAAGCTCTTTTATGGCTGATCGAGTGATTTATTCAGTTTATCCCTTCATATGTCGAATTTATTTGAGTATAAGAAACTAGTAGAAGTGGTTTATGTGTGTTAATTGGAATCCAAGCTCCACTGATGCTCGGTTCATATGTACCTTTAAAATGTTTGGATGTACACTGTATGTAAGAGTCAAGCAGTGATAGACATCAGGTACTGTAGTAATGTTATTGGTTTGTATTCCCAGGATTCCCATCTCATCAGCCAGGGGGGCATGTACACTTTCCACAAGAACAAGTTGTCCAACATGACTCTGAGATTGTCATTTGTCCTGAGGGAGACAGGACTCTTGGTGTTCATTTAGGTTTTTTACAACACAGACATCACTACGAGGTGGCCTTCACTATACAGGATGATCTGGGGGAGGATGTAGACATAGAACCTTCCCTACATGCTAGAATACTGGAAGTTATGCCTTCAGAAACAGGTAGATATTTCCTTTTAATAAATCTAATCTAAATCCTTTTTTTTAAATTATTTAATTAAATAATAATAATTCAATTTGCGACATAAGTTGGATGGTACATTTGTAATATGTTTTACTAAAAATGGTAATTTTAAGGAAAATATGAGAAATTAAAACATTTACTAAAATACATTTTGAAATGCATTTTCAAGGACTGCATTTGAATTAATTTTTTGGATGTGTAAGTGATAAAATAAAAAAATTACCAATAAGTTGATAATGCCCAGATAATAAAAGTCCCTCGAGTCTCTCATTGTCCTCAGTTTTGGCATTTCAAATGTCTGGGCACTTTGTAACTTATAAAACTGTCCACCTGTTGGTCCAACTGTTGGTAAAAGGTGGTCAATTTTGTGGTAATTAATGTAATTATTGCACATTTTTGTTACATTCTTTTACACACCTGACACTGTAGTAATAGGGACAGTAATTGGTAGTTTTGAGTGCTTCAGTTTTCAAAATTCAATATTTAAAAAACCCTTCTTTTGAATGGATTCTGTTTTATCATATAGACTGTTAGTGAGGCCAAGGTGTAAGACCTAAAAAGACTGCAGATTTTCCCCTTTAAATTCCTTTGTCATGTTTAAAGAAAAGAAAGGAAATTGTATTTGACTTCATCATAGTCAGGCCATCAAAAGTGTACTTAACAATGAAGAAAAATGTTTGGTAAATGCATTTAAATATTTGAAAATGAAATATGGCATTCCATCATACTATTATCATACTATAATTGACAAAACTTTATTCTTATAATCTTCCAGAATATCCTGGCCACACAGTGGCAGTGGATCTTGCTGCACACAAAGAAAAACTTATGCAAGAAAAGATCACTCTCAGGAGCAGAAATGACAAAAATAAGGCCATCACCTTAGTGCTGCATGCTAGAGTATTAGGTAAGCTGATGCTATACTATATCTCACTCTTGTGAATCTTTTATTGTAAAAACAAGTATTGGCAGCAACAAATATACACTCTTGGTTTTCCCACCTACAATTCCATGTGTTTTTGTTTACTAATGAGCACCTCATATCTGTAAACCATTTTGTACAGTGTTAAATCTAACACACTGTATTTAACTTGACTCATGGTACAGAAAATACAAAATACCGGTGAAGAAATCCATATTGTATACCATAAATTCCAATTTAGAGGATGCAAATCTCAGAAATCTGATGTTCTACAGTGATTTCCACATAGGTAAAAATGTCCATAAAAATTGAAATGGCACCAAATGTCATCAAATTTACACACAATTAGCATGAGCACATACTTCCTCAAGGCCACGTGTCTAATAGTATGTGTTTACTGCATATTGCAGTTATCTTCTGTAGGCGGGGTGCCATGCATTTAACAAGGGCAAGAATTCTGTTTTGTGAAAAATTGCCTCTAAATAATTATAATTAGTGTGTTTGTGCAGGTGTGTGTGTGTGTGTGTGTGTGTGTGTGTGCACAGGTGAGTGTGTGCAGGTGAGTGTGTGTGAATGTGTGTGTGTGCCAATTATGAAGGTCCACGTGGTCTGGTGGCAAGCACAGATTTCAGAATAATTGTGATAACCACGATGTTGGTGGTAAAATGGTATTTATTATATTTCTTTGTGTTGTCTACAATGTATTTATTGGGAATTTTGAATTTCGTACGAATAGTTTTTATCCCTTGAAGCATTTTTAAAACTGCATCAAATTGACAAAAAACTTATTTTGTGCATGATTATTTTGTGCTTTATGCTGCCTTTTTTCTAGTGGTATTGTTCATGTTGGCAATTATCAACTTTGCCACTAAACTGGACCAAATGCTACTCTTTTATTTCTGCAGCAGCCAAATGCTATGTAATGACCCATAAACATGTAGTAGTACCAGTCTATATCAGTTTTGGTTGTCTTTTCAGGGCGAGGCAAGGGCACCCCAGCATTAAGGAACGGCATAAAATGCACAGGCATTGATGCAGATGAGGAATCAGAAGCAAGTGACTGGATGGGCTTTGATTGACACATTAACCTCAGTTTACCACAGTAAACTTTTTTATATGTTTGATAACGATGATTGCGTTATAAGTAGAGCATCTTTTCATCCAACTCTGTGTTGTATTTCTTTGAAGAGGAAACCTCTCTATAAAGGTGGTTTTGACACATTCTGTACAGTTTTAAAAACTTCAAAGTAGTCTACGTAAGTGAAGTTACTCAGTTAAAAATAAGGTGTTTGTCTAGATTATATGTTTCACTAAAGCATTAATCATACATCAAACAATTTTCAGCACAAGACACCAATATTCTGCACTTTCATACTGATAGATTGTCTTTCAGCACATAAATACAAGTTTCTGGTCTCCACAACTGATAAGCATCTGCAAGTTTTCGTCTATTAATAGTTCTTCACCTGGTTTGTCACTTGGTAATGTATGGATGGATGCTTGTGGTCCAAGATTAACCCCATCATGAAAAAGGGACACAAATTTGCAGATGTGAGGTTGTTCCTTTTTTATCAGTGAGCCAGACCCAGTAACTGTTAAGTTGTGCCAATACATAAAAATATATAAAATGCATTAAAAATCTTGGTATGGCTATGGCATGGCTGTGCTGAATAACAGTAGGTTCTGCTGAAAATTATTAGAGGTATTGGGTATTTGTATTTCTCATTTACATGGTATGTATATATCTAGACCTATTATTTCTTTTTTATATACAGACACCGTATACATCTGTATGTATCCTGATAACTGTCTATGGCATAATTTTACTTTAAATTTCTGAGCAGCTTTGTTTGGTTGTAGAAGAAAGGTCCCTTGCAAAAATTAGCAGGATAGGAATATTTGTGCAAAAGTTTTATTGCACATTTTTTATTTGTTATCAATACTTTTTAAATATTGTTGCAGTGTATTTTTCTTTGTTGTTAGGTCTCTGTATTTATGACAGCTTTGCTGTTTGTTCTATGTACACAGTTAAATGGATAAGAATTTTTCATAATTTTCAGCCTGCATTTAGAATACAAGTTGAAACCCAATTTGATGTATATTTCAGTGTGTGTACAAACACACAGTAGAAAGTTTGTGTAATTTTTATGGTCCAAGACATTCATCTGTATTTTTTTTAATTAATCTGCATTTTTGAAGATTGTGGTATACCACCATGTCAGATATAAACAATGGAAGTGTCACCAAAACCCACTGTATCCGAGTATATTTATAAGAGTAGGCTTTCAATGCTTTTGTCAAAATTTTAAAGGTTATTGATGGCACTGTAAAATCATGCATTTGCTTGCTGCTTTATCAATGCTTTGTTAAATGTTCTTTATTTTGCTAAAACAAAAATATGCTAGCTTGCCACCAACTAAATAATCTCATGTATTTTATTTTGTTAAATTCCACTTGGAATTCAGTGTGTATTGTTGTTCACTTCTACCATATATGATATTTATCTCTGGATGCTCACTCCTTGACCATTCAGTATTGTAAGTTTTTCAAGTCAAACTTGCACAGAAATTTAAATGCAAGTGTCTGACTTTAAGTAAAATAACCAAGTAACCAATGATAGTTATTTGTCACAATTATGAGGAATAATTGTGGATGAATGGTAATCATGATATTTGATTGAAACAGTTTGTCATGTACCACATTTCTTTGCTATATATAAAACCCATCCTGACAGCCACATTATCCATGTCCAGTGATAGTCGGTGATGTTTTGAATACCACAAACACAAAGAGTTATCTAAGTTTAGATAAAGCTGCTGTATTAAATAGTACATTTGACCTTTCATATGATAACTATTAAGGTTAAACCTGCTTGTGTAAAACTAGTAGTGAAGATAGCACATACTGTATGCAGACATTAAAGAAAGAAATGAAATAAATTACATGTAAGGCAAGTTGGATGGTTAAAGAATTTTAAACATTCGAATTAACAGTCGACTTTCACCTCAGCATCAGTTAAATTTCAACTCGAAACAGAAATATGCATGATAAAATGACATGCTTCGAAATACCTCGACTGACAAATAACATTTAAAAACCTAATCAAATTACTATATTCAACCCAATAAATTTTAACTAAAATAATGTAAGTTTTATGATTTTTTTTGCTGCATATTTTTAAATTAATGAAAATATTGAAATTGGTTGGAGTTAAAATGGCACTTTAAATGTCCCTTTTATAAATTATCTGGTTCTTTTCAGATAATCTTAGAATATGTGTAGAATCTAGTGCATGTTCCCTCTTCCCAATATCTCCCAGTTTTCTGACCAACCAGCAGAAAATTGTTTGTATATAGTCTTCTTACTTGTATCTGTTCATGATGTCACCATCACAGTTTTACTGGGTAGTTTTATTTGATAAAATGTTGGGTTGATTTCGAAAGTCAGCATTACTGAATGAGTTTTGTACCACCAGTGCGAGGTACAATGGCTCTGAAGTCCAGCCCAGACCTGACTTGCCCAATGCAAACAAGACTCCATTATTGCTATATCTCAAATTAGCACAGACCTGTCTTCATGTTATTGAATTTGGTCACATACAGTTTCAACTTAAATGTGCTAGACTTTGGGCTCAAATATGCCAAGTGGTTTTGTTTAGTTAAAAAAAAAATCAACATGATCACATTAACATTATTGTATATATTGTTGAAGGTTTTTTTTCTTTCTTTTTTTTTTTTTTTTT